ATATTCATCCAAAAAAGTTATTGCATTGTTTTTACTATGAATATTTTGCGGCAGAAAATTCTCATTTCGTTCTTTATGGATTTTGTGTGTATGCAATAAACAGAGCAACGTTCAAAATATAGCTGCATACCATAGTTGTTAGTTAAATTCGAGCTAAACTTCTTTGTCAACTTTTGCTTGTTGGCTGATTAAAACACTGTTGTAGAGTGCTATAATAAAAAGCCCTCCACGATATGGAGCACATATTGCCGCATATTCAGCACATATCCACATATTACAGCACACTCACAAGTATGTTATGGATTCCGTTCGAAAAAAGAAGACTTGCAACCTTGATTCCTTACTGAACCCCGCTCATGATTTTTTGGTACTCAACAATACGGGTATGCACAACAAATTTATTTGCATTGATGAGATTTTGACTCTCTGCGAGTTCGGAGGATTAACAAATTCATCGTTCAAGAAATGAAACTTGAACGGAGAAGTTGTGATGACGTGAATTTCACCGCTTTTGGAATTTCCCCTCAAGTACGGAGGTAATTTCGCCAGCACTGATCTACTACAAGACTATTCCATGGGTGAGACAAACTTACCTGAGACTACTCCTTAATTTTTTCAAAAACGCGCCGCCAGCCATTATTTCCTTTTGAAAACTTTCAGAATATATAAGTAGGAGAGATTATCAATCAAAAGCTTCAGCAAATAAAATTCAACAAATTTGGCACCTTTAGGATCTGAGAGCAATCGGTTCCGTCTTTCATGCCACACTTTTTCATGCTTCGCTTCACACATTGTGTTTTCTGTTGGCAGTCATTAAGCTGGTCACGCACATAAGATATGCACATTCCATTCCGAGCAGGTTTAATGACATGGATGACATCAGGAGAAGCGTAATTCAACCATATATTAATTTTTGAGCAAGGTGGTCTTGTGCATAAAGTTCACTATTATGTGCCCAACTGTATAAATAAAACTGAATGTCTGTTTGTCTGTCTGTATTTATGTATGTACGTATGTATGTATGTATCTTGTCCTACAGGAGCGTGCGGGCCATTTTGACCGAGTGGGCGGGGTTCCCAACGGAGTGGGCGGGTCGGCCAAAAGGGATGGTCGGCCGCCAACGAACCTCTGCACTTTGACCGAAATCAATCGAGCGATTGGGCGCGGCAATACACTATATAGAAGGTGCTGGGTTCGGGTTGGAGATGCTCTCCTTGTAGCGTCCCTGGCGGCAGGGACCATGTCAGAGTGCAAAAATGGGGTCTTCCCGGCTCGGCGGCCGGTTTAATTACCCAACTTATTATTTTTGTAAGTGTGTCTGTACAGTATCATCACTGCTGCCATGAAATCCGAGACTATAAGCGCAATACGCACTGGATGTGCCGCATTGCGATAGCTTGCTTAAACTTCAACCGATTGAACTCTGGCTCAAATACTTGAAATAGCGCCTTCATGGCAATCTAAGCGTGTTTTTGAAAGTTCCAGGATTTTATTCACAAAGATCTTTTCATAGGACCACCGGCGGTACAAACACATTACCTCATTGGTATCGCCGCACCGCCACAACTTTCTTCAACTCAAACATATGAAATTCTAGCTCGAATATATGGAACCAGCGTCTCCTAGACTACCCAAAAACAGTTTCAAATTTTTAAAATTCTGCTTCTAAGATTTTTATGCCCGAATGAAAATTTTTATTGCTGAACCTATTCGTACCAAACTTAGCACGCGTAAACCTCGGAGAGGGGTGGGGTTGTCGTGAGCTACTTTTCGTTATTGCATGTATCAATTTTATTGATTTTTTGCAAACTTTCACCTCACGAGGCTGAAAATTGCACAAGGGGGGGGGGGGGTAAGTGAGCGTGCCGATTACGATAATATTGACAGGGCCGGGCGCAGCGGGTTTGCCAGCTGGTTAAGAAGCTCTGCCCATGCTCTTATGAACACTGCAGAAATTCTTTTGTTAAATCCTAGCCAAGTTATTTTTGTAAATTTCGAAGACCAGCTCCTAGCAATTCAACAGTTGTGCTGAACTTCTCGAGATTTGCTGCATCAAATCTAGAATTTCTTATTTCCAATCCTTTCAAAATTAGTTTTCCAGACTTTTTTGCAGCTTTTAGGTCGGTTTTCTTTCTTGTTGCAATCAAAACTTTTCTTTACATTTCTCGAACGATTCTGAGCGTCGATCATTAGCTTTCATCCGGATATCTTCAGCATTCCTTGCCAAGTTTCTTTGAGACTAGTGAACCAGTAATCTAAAGGTGCTATTTGTGAGTGCGTTCGCTTCGACCCGCCTTTGGTTACTCGCTTTTTGCAGAATTTTGAATTGAGCTAACCATTCTTTATATATGAGGCACTGCCAAATCTTCTTAATAGTGCTCGCAATCATTTTCTGTGCAGGCGGGAAAAACTTTACTTCCTCTTGTTACTTCGCCAAAAGAAGCAGATCGCAAAGTTTGTACACTTCTCTAGCGAAGGAATTGTTTCCAGAAGCTACTAGGTTGTTACATAAGTCTTATTACACTTTACCTCCTTCTATCGACAGTAAGATTGCATCCGGAATATGAGTCGCACTGAAAGCTCAAAAAATCGCGAAAAATTCATATCTTTGTTCAAAAAAGTCCTCCGCATCTCCAACTTGTTCACGCAGATTGCCCACTATATCAGACACTCATATAGCCGTTCTTGTATTTTTTTCTCATCTAGAAATCAAGAAAATGAAAATTTTTTAGTTTTTGCAAAAACGAATCTGTGTTGTTTCTATTCATGTAGCTGTATACTACAAGCTCTTAGAAGTATAAACGTAAATTTTCAGCTTTCTACAGGCCTTAGATTTTGAAAAATATTAATTTTAGCATGGAACACTCAAATTAGGAGAGCTCAGTTCGGTAATTTTCGGAAACAGAGGCCTGTAGAAAACTGAAAATTTACGGTTACACTTCTAAGGGCTTGTAGTATACAGCTACATAAATGGAAACAGCATAGCTTTGTTTTTGTAAAAACTAAAAAAAAATTCTTTTATACAGCAACGGTACTTATGAGTGTTTGATATAGTGGGCAATTTTTATGAGCAAGTTGGAGATTTGTAGGATTTTTCTGAACAAAGACATGAATTTTTCGCAATTTTTGAGCCTTCACTACGACTCAGATTTTGGACGCAAAGTTGCAGTGGGTCGAAGTTGTTGCTCATATTTGCATACCACATTGTAGAGCTTGCTTTGCTCTATCGAACGGTATCCTGTAAAGAATATGAGGTGGATGACTTATCGCCGTTAGAAGTTAACTGTAACAAGACTTATGTGACAACCTAATAGCATGTCTGAAAATTTGCTCAGCTCTTTGAAACAATTTACACTATGTTTTCTATTGTGCCATACAATACTTTCTTCTTACCAATTTTCCCCCACTAGCAGATCGCCAAATTCGCATGAAAATATACGCAAGAAAGAAAAAAACGGATTTTGCTATGCAGCAACGTTGCTGTATCTGAAGCTTGTAATATATAAAAGTGTCATCAAAGTTTGGCTGGTTTCTTTTGACATAGATTCAATGCATGCCCTATCCTATATTTCAGAATCGGCTATCCCTGCTTCATGAATAGATCAATTTTGCAATCAAACTCTAATGAATAATCTGTATCACACAAACCAAGCACCTCAATCATAGGATCCATCAAGCTTTTTCACTGTCTATCTGAAAAAAATTACTGCATCTTATTTTGACTATCCTTATTGTTAGTCTCGTATGTGAGCAAATACTTTTTTGCTCGAATTCATGCACATGCTTATATGATGTTGCCAAGGAAGTTCTCTCGGACATGGAAAACTTAGAATTGAATTTCAAGAGCGCTATTACGCGTATGAGAGTGTACATGAATTGCACTTATGGAAGCATGCTTCATATACTCAAGTATGAGTGCTAAGCCGATTGATAAAGGCTGATGTCCTTTTTAACTACTTCATTTGCCTTGTTGAACGAAAATCGAATGAAGTGCGCGTATATGCACATACCAGATTGTTTCGTAGTTCTATCAGTTTTTTTTTGTTGCCTCTTGTTTAAATCAAAATTTTCCTAAGAGCTTAGCACTTAGTAAGCTAATATCTGTGTTTTTTCAATACCTCGCTTTCTCTGATGCTTGTTACTTGTTCTTCATGAAAATCTATTATCAAATATGCTGTTGATTCAGCTTCCATTTTGTTTAGTTTTCTTTGATATTTTGATTTCATGAATTTGCCTCTTTTTCGAATAGGTAGGTTGCCAGAATGCAGTTACGCCGAAAAAATATCTTCTAGTTAAATTTTCCGAAGCGCCATTGAAAATACTTACATAAAACTCAGTTTTGGGTAAGGGAGCACTGGGCTAAAGCATAAACACTTTTACTATCGGAAACCGGCTTATTAGTCAAATTTGTGGTATTTTCTTTAGATATAGGATTGAGATCTTTTATTAGGTTGTAACATAAATCATGTTATAGGAGTTATAAACCCTCATAACTTTCTCCAAAGATTTTCTCATCTCCAAATTGAGAGGAAGGTTGAACTTTTCAATTTATACGTGCCGCATGTGACAAATTGAATTTTTGAATTTTTCAAAATTTTGAATTGTTTTTGGCAAATTTCCAACTTGTGTCAGCTTAGAATTCCAGACTTCATTCTTATACGTACTAATGCCCCTAGGATTCCAACTCTGAGAGCAAAAAAATAAGAATGAGAGAATTTTCAAAGGCAAAAGGAAAAACGCGAAATCGCCTCTACACTTACTGTAACCGTTGTCAAAGTTCCCAGAGTTTTTCAGAAGAAAATGAAAAAAATGTCTTAAAACTTATGTTACAACCTATTACAATCATTCTACGCGTAGCTCCCTCAGGCAATCATACTCTTTTACGACATCGCTCTTACTTTTCGATCTTTTCCAAAGTACTCCAAGTCCATTGAATCGGTATTTTGCTAGTAACGAACTTTATTGTAGATCATCCTTTCTTTCTAAAACTCTTCCCTTTCAGAAACTGCGCGCATCCCCTCGCCATCAAATCAATAGATTAAGTTTCACGATGTTTTTCTAATGGGTTCAGCACTGTGCGGCCCTAGACGGAAAAAGGCAAGGAAATTTTTTACTTAGAGGCATTTTTACTAAGAGTTACAAAAGTGTTTCCACTTGATTTTAGCAAGTTGGTTCGTCTTGGGTGGGTAACGAGAACGATAACCCCTTCGAGACAGCTCTTACCAAAAAGGAGAGGACGTTATTGCGCGAGACATTCCAGGTGGGACTTGTTTTGCAAAGGAGAATTTAATTCAAGAAATTCTTATACATATTTTTCTTGAATAAATAAATTTTTGGTTTTTTCAACAATTTCTTGAATTTTTTTTTATTGCAGCGTCTTGATGAGCCGAAGGAGATAGTAGGGACGATATTCGTCGACATAGTAAACGATATTGAACCGGATCTAAAAAAGGTGTGTTTTCGACTACTTGTTTATGGTATTTTACAATGAGACTTAAATTCAAGCATCTTTTTTTTTCTTACTTTTCAAGGTTGTAGTAGTCTTTTGGTGCGTACATGCATTTCTCCATCCAATAAGATTTTGAGCCCCAAAACTTTGCATAGTGTCAAATCGTCTAGTCCTTAGTGAGATTAGAAGTTTACTGAAAATCGTATGCTATTCACCAGTTTACAAAAAGTCAAATCCTTTTTTATGCGACCACAAAAAAATTCTCTTTTCTCGCACCATACATCGTGTATTGCATGCTAAGTTTTTAACCATATTTCCAGAATTGCTTTTGCGCTTACGTCAAAACAGGCATTGTAATGAGATTTTTAACTTTTTTCTTAGTATGAGTTTGTAGAGTTTGTAGTCACGCGACTTCTTGCTTGAGTACAGATTTTTTCTTTGACCAGTCGTCAAGAGTGGATCAAAGTTTGGGTCACGTGTTCCTTATTTATGACATGATTAGAAGCCTTTGTTATCAACCTTAAGTTCCAATTCCATTTTGTTTGTAGCCTTCTGGAACGACTTTAGAGCTCTGCCTATCAAACGGTATTGTTACTGACAATGGCGTAGATATCTCTTTAGCGAATTCAGGAAAATAAATTGAAAAAGTTGATTTTTGTAGATAGGATGGGATAATCTAATAAATCGTCAAATGTCAGTAAATCTTACGAGAAACACGAACGAGAAAGTTATTCCAATGCCCAAAGTTTAGCTTGCAGTTAAGGGTCTTCTTTTTAGGTTTTCGGTGTCGATCGTGCCCCAAAGGCTGCAATGTTGAAAATGCCAAAGTTTGGTGGACATGTGGCACGATTTACGGAACTCATTGACCAGGTACTCACAACATCACTAGTTCGGCCCTTTTTCTCTAGGATTTCCTCTAATTTGAAAAAAAAATCAAAAAGCAGCCCAACAGCTTTTCAATGCTGCATAATCTGTAATGTCTTTGATTTGAGCTGTGATAGTACAGAAACTGTACAAAATCATTTCCAATCCAGATCACTTCCATGGTTGGCTACACAGAAAATCTAGGGGGTGCATGGCAGCTTGTGCGGAAAACTGGACGGATTCACGTAAAGCAGGGGTAAGATAGAAAAGACAAACATAGTACAGCCAACGTTTTTTTAAGATTCCTCGAGCAGAATCAAAACCAGCTTGAGAAAAATTATTTCGAACTGGTGATGAATATTTTCATAGAACGTTTTATTCCTTTTCTAACTGGGGAGCAGGTAATGTGGTTGAAATAATCTCGGCACAATGCTTTCAAACTGTTGAAATTTCAGACGCTGCCAGCTCCAGATGGTAACGAAAAGAAAAGAGTGCGATTTGCTCAAAGCTATGCCCCTGCCCAAATAGCTGAAGTATGGAAGAAGTAAGTTTTGCTGTTTTCATCCCTTTCTCATCTTTAGAAGCTGTTTTACGTAAATGCTGGACCCCGCTTCATTACAAACTCTGTTCCTGCAAAAAAAATATATTGCAGATTTTTCAATTTGGTCTCGGCTCAAATGACAGATGCATTTGAGCACGAACGTAATAAACAAAGAAATGCTCAAAGTCAGAAGACTCTTGCCCCACATCAACATGTAGAACAAAACGAACGAAAGAAGAAGAGAATACAGGTTTGTCTTCTTTTCGCAAAATAATCGTTTCGTTCTAGATAAGACTAAGTAAAAAAATTGCGTAACAACATTTCTTGCATTAATTTTCTACAAGAGTAGTCTAATATATGGTATGAGTCTAAAGCTTCCAATAAGTGCTTTGTTACTGATAGGGAAAAAGGATCCTCTGCGGAAGGGGAGGGACTTTCAGGTCAAAATTCTCAAGAAAATTCAATTTTACTAGATGGGGTAATAGACTGTGATTGTACAAAATTCCTCAATTTAGAAGCAATTTTCTTGCGCATAGAAGAGTCCTTTTCTCAATCTTATCACGCAGTTGCAAGCTCCTAGATCGAAGTTATCTACACGCGCTTGGTACACCTAGTTAGAGAGCTTTATATTACATTTACAGGAAAAGCAAAGCGAAATCGAAAATAACGCAATCGCTGAGCCGAAGGAACAGGAACAAATGTTCGAGGATCCGTTCTGATGCTACAAGACAGACTACTTTTTTTTGCAAATTTCTTGTTCAGTGCTGTATATGCTCAAATGTCAATAAATTATCTGAAGCTGCTTGAAGCTTTTGCAAAGGGTAGGAGCTTTATTTTGACGTTCGGAACATATACGTATACAAACTGAAAAGTTAATACCGCTGGTAACCCAGAAGAGTAGAAGAGTCATGGCAGCATCTATACAAATAAAAAGTTCAAAGTTGTCAGTTTGAAGGGTATGTACGTTATAGAAAGCATGCCACTCAACCGAGCTTGGGCTGAAACTGTCAATACGTTATGATAGAAAATGTCCTATTTCCGTACAAATTTCTCCGTCCCAATCCCACATCTGCATGCCAGTGCCCTGCCCTGCACTATGTGTAATCGACATGCCCCTTTATGCCCCCCTACCCCCTTGTGCCAACTCCCGGCGCGGTGCTTAAACTTTATAAAAGAATTGAAAATCGATAAGGTAATGAGTAGTCTCAAAAGGCAACACTGTATAAGCTCCTGCAAGACGAAGGCGGTCGGTTCGACGTGCAACGCGGCTGCGACACAGCTGCGTCACAGCCGCGTCACAACCACGTCACTATCGAACCGACCGCCTTCGTCCTGCAGGAGCTTATACAGTCTGCCCCAATCCTAACCAGGCCAAAATTGGCTTGGCGGGAGTGCGCGTCGCGAGGGTTTCGCGCCACTTCTGTGTCTAGCTAGTCTGCTCTCTCCTCCTCTTCGCTCTCTGCGACAGCGCGCGTATGCAGCGCAAACCCCTAGCGCTGCGAGCGCGCAAATTCAGCCGACGGTTCGGCCTGATCCCGATTGGGGCAGACTGTATTCGTAATCAGCATGCTCACTTATGCCCTTGTGTCGCTTCCCACCCCCGTGGCTCGTTGCAAAGAATTGACGAAATCGATATCGATCAGTAACGGAATGTAGCTTGACACCCATCCCACCCGAAATGCATGTGTGCAAAGTCTGGTATGGATTGGTCTTGAAACTGAAAGAACCACGGGCATATTTACAACCACAGGCAGCCACAAAAACAGATATTCACTATTATACAGGGTGTCCGTAAAGTATGTATACACTGTTTGATCGTTAATATCTCTTTTTCCAAGAAGTCTTTTGCCTTGCTTCAGGTACCATTTTGTAGAGCTGGCTCCAATTTAGATTTACAGTATGGAGCGAATCATCCATCTCTCTTCTCTACTGTAGCATTACGGTAGAAACTTGAAACATGTGGTGCCAATGTGGAAAAAGCTGCCGTTTCAAGATTTTTTAAAAAAATGTGAAAACTTGTGTAATAGGGTTTCTATGAACGCTGAGTTCAATAATCAACTATTCACAAGATTGCGAAGCTTTCTAAACGGTGTAACCGCACTTTTTAGGAACATTGAAAAAATGGCCGCTACCTCTTGCCTGGCATAACTCTTCGGTGAAGCATCATAATACGTTGGGAACTTTACAATCATAATCAGCAACTCTAATTGGCCTAGTGTAAAAGTTTTCGGGCTGTTTTGTTCCCTTTCTGAGGCAAAATATGACCTTTCATGGCTCAAAACCCCTTTTGAAGTTTCCACCGTAATCCTACAGTAATGAAAAGAGATGGGTGATTCGCTCCATACTGCGAATGTAAATTGAGGCCAGCTCTACAAAATGGTACCTGAAGCAAGGCAAAAGACTTTTTGGGAAAAGAAATATTAACGATCAAACAGTGCATACATACTTTACGGACACCCTGTATAAAAGACTAGCTGGCTTACCCGACTCCGCCTGGACCTGTCAAAAACGATAAAGGTTCCATTTTCATCCCTGTACATCTTTACCTGTGCCCATCTACATGCAATTCCCTATTCCCGCTGTGTGAGTAATCAGCATGCTCACCTACCTTCCTCACGAACCCCCCCCCCCCCCAGCCCCGTAGCTCAAACTTTGCAAAAAAAACAACAATAATAAAATCGATAAAAATAGGGGTAATCCTAAAAACTGATGGCGTTATTCGGCTATCCGGGCCCTAAAATGTTTTTGTGGTGTGTCCTGCTCAAATTCGGTATATGGGGGTTATTCAAGTCGCTGACAACGAATATGGTAGTCATTTCGCGTGGCAGCGGGTAAAAATCATTAACCTGCCTGAAAGCTTGGCAGGGAAGTACCTAAAGTGCTGTTTCAAGAATAACGTGCTTAATCGCCATGCTAATGGCAACTCGTGTGGTACAGTCTGCCCCAATCCTAATCAGGCCAAAATTGGCATGGCGGGAGTCCGCGTCACTAGGGTTTCGCGGTCACGCCCACGGCCTGCTTGTCTGCTCCCTCTTCGATCTTCTCGCTCTCCGCCAGCGCATATGCAGCGCAAACGCCTAGCGCGCAAATCCACGCCGACGGTTCGGCTTGATCCCGATCGGGGCAGACTGTATAAAAGTTTCCCACGACTAATGCTTTCTTTATAGGACCACTGCCGCGCGCGATACACCCTTCGGCGGCTTTTGCCTTTGTAAGCAAAAACAGGGGAAGTGCGATTTGCCGCGTGCGTTACACGATGGGACAGATTATCAGGATGGCGCTGGAGACCGCCATGCAAAACAACCGTTTCCCCATTTCGTGAATACCTGGGATCTAAACTGGCCCGAAAGAGAAGAAATGTGCATTCAAACCCTGCAACTCACCATAACTTCACAATAATGCGTTATGACAGCGAGCAAGCATCATGCAGTATGCTTGTGAACCGTTACAGGTAAGGTTTTGAGCAAATCTGAAACTTTGACCCATGTACACCCACCGTAACCCAAGAAAATGCATTATTCTGCGAAATCAGCATGATATTCATGTTCAGCGCGCTAAATGACCAACTTAGACGAAGTTTAAAGCAAATCCATGTTTCCGACCCCACAGGTTGCCGTATAACCCTCATAACTCTATCAAAGGTCCCAATATGCAGAGAGAGTATGAATTTCGTGCATGTCGAATAAGTTCTCTGAACCGAGCTCCAGCCGAATTCCTGATTTTGACTTTCTACGTGCACCTAGCGTAACCACACGGAGAGACGTTCTGCGGAGAAAGTGTGATATCTCTTTTCAGCATGTAAGATAACTCTTATACACGAAGTTTGAGCAAGCTGTACGACAAAAAAAATTTGGGGCCCGGATAGTCGAATAACGCCAAACTGTATTGTGTTCGTAATCAGCATGCTCGATTACCCCCTGTGCCAACTCCATACCCTCGATACATAGAGTCACGTACTCTGGTAACCTTCACTATGAGGGCTATGAGGGGACACAACCTTTACCTGGAAAAAAGACAGAAGTCATGCGGGACGAAGCCCCGGTTGTTATTATCCTAACTACATCGAAATGAATGTTAATGAAGCAAATATAGGGAATTTTCCTAGGTTATCACAGCGAAACCGATAATTTGCTTTATAGCCATTTTTATGTTGAAAAGAAGGTTTTTGTGGAATTTTCGCCACAATTCAAGACAAGATTTCTAAGCTAACCTCTCATTTGACCAAAATCGAGTTTCAGAAGTTTAGGAAAGCTATTGGAGTCAAATAAAAAGGAGAAACTGCGCTTAAATCTTGCGCAAAAAGTCGCGCACGAAAACGCTGGTCTATCTCGTTAATGAGTGATTTTCAAAGCTTGGGACGTTGTCAGTTCTCCTCGCCGTGAAATGACGATTAGAATGATATATAATGTTACGGGATTTCGTTGGAACCCCGCGGAGATCTAGACCAGAGCCAAATGCCCCGTCGGCTTTGGTCTGTCTCCGCTGCTCGTCTGCGTCTCCGCGCGCTGCGCGCTACCTCGCTACCCCAAACGCGGGGCGCGGGGCATTTGGCTCTGGTACCCTTTTCTTCGCTGTTTCGAACCCATTTTTAGCAAGCTATATATCATTTTGAAGCTCTTGATCTCTATTTTCACGCTGACAACGTCCCAGAACCACATTTTTTGATTTGATCGATAAATCCGGCAAAAACCTTGTTTTCAAAAATCTCTTGTTTATCTTCTAGTTTAACTCTTTTCACGCGGATTTTTCGTGCATTCTATAGATCTTGCTTCTGTTCATAATGCAGACAACCACCCAGCCCTTACCTCTTCGATTATAGTAGAATTTTTTGCGAAACATCGTAAAAAGTGCGTTTTTCTTTACCTTGTTCCATTTTAGTGCCTTCGCATCGATTTTTTTCTAGCTTGGGCGATTGTTGCTCAGAACAATAAGCGCAACAATCCAGACAACGTCCCAGGAAACAGGAACGTCAATGTGGGGGTAAAAATTTAAAGGACACATCAAAATTCAAAACCCCGTGTTGCGAATTGCTGGTCCTGGAACGAAAACTTGCACTTTGAAAAGCCGCCAAGTGAAAAATTTCAAACCTCATTGCATCGTTTTTATCCGGTTTTCAGTAGTTTCTTTTGCTTTTTACATTTGTTTTACGTCATTTTCTCTTCTCTGATCTTCCTTGAACAACTTTTACTATTTATGACGTCAGATGCTCAAACAACCTTCACTTTTGACGCCCTGTCTCTAGACTATCGAAGGTATGGCCAACTCCCAGCCCCGTACCTCAAACTTCGCAAAAAAATCGATAAAATCAGTAGAAGTAATGGACGATTTCAAAACTAATATTGTATTCGTAATCAGCATGCTCGATTACTCCCTTGTGCAAATTCCCAGCCCCGCAGGTCAAACTTTACAAAAAAAATCGATAAAATCGATAAAGGTAATCGACAATTCTGAAAACTAATATTGTATTCGTAATTAGTATGCTCGATTACACCCTGTGCAAGCTCCCAGCCCCGTAGGTGAACTCTGCAAATAACCGATAAAAATCGATAAAATCGATATCGATCGGTGACGAAAGGTAGCCTATGACACCCGCCGGGGCCCGAAGTGTACGTGTGCCAAGTTTGGTCCGGATCGATTCAGAAATGGAATTCTCTATTCGGAACATACGTACATACAAACACACATACAGACACACAGACACACAAACAGACATTCAGCT